CAATTCATTGTTATTAATTTATTAAATGTTGTCTCTTATTTAATTGGTCTTTTTTTTAATCACTGTCAGATATAACTTTTACCTTTTCAAAGTATCCATATAGATACTTTGTGATACAAGGTCATAAGGTCATATCCAGTAGTCATGACATATCTGGTCTTTGCTTTTACCCCCAACTCGAGGTGGTTTGGGTTAAGATATCTCCTTTAAAAGGCATTGTCTTAATGAATTCTCACCTTTTTTTTTGTTCTTTGTGTTTGTGAATTATCCTTCTTCAACTCCTCTTCAGAAGCTTCTGTGAGATTCATGCTTTTTTTGTGTGTAGTTTTTGCTTGTTTGTTTAATTTCCTAGATTCTCTATATATGGATTGTTTCTAATATGAAATTGAATGCTAAGGCAAGAAGTCAAAGTGAAGTCTCACAATAGTGTTAGATTGTAGTGCCTGCTTCGGTAGCACATATACAACAACGTAAGATTCTAATAGGATGCATTACCACTGTGTAGTTTTTTGTTTTTTTTTTTTAATCCCTCAGGAACAAGACAAGGGTATTCACTTGTCACTTTTATTGAACATAGAACTGAAAGTCCTATGCATAGCATTCAGGCCAGAGGTTGGAGGAGGGAGGGAAGGCATCCAAACTGGTAAGGAAGAAGTAAAATCATCACTATTTGCAGTGACATGGTACTATATATAGAAAATCCTGAAGACTCTACCCAAAAACTATCATAACTAATAAATAAATTCAGTAAAGTCACAGGATACAAAATTTATAGAATTCTCTTGAATTTACATAAACTAATAATGAAGTGGTAGAAGGAGAAATTAAGAAAACAATCCATTTACAATTACACCAAAAGGAATGACATACCTAGGAAGAAATTTAACCAAGAAAGTGATAGACCTGTCTTTTGAACACTAGAAAATATTGATGAGAGAAATTGAAGACAACACAAAAAATGGGAGGTATATCATGTTTATGGATTGGAAGAACTAATATTGTCAGAATATCCATACTACTCAGACCAATCTACAGATTCGGTGTAACCCCTATGAAAATACCAATAGTGTATTTAACAGAACTAGAACAAACAATACTACAATTTGTATGGACCCACAAAGCACCCCAAATGGTCAAAGCAGCCATGAAAAAGAACAAAGCTGGAGGTACCACAATCCCAGATTCAAGATACACTACAAAGCTATAGTAATGAAAACAGTTTGGTACTGGCATAAAAACATTCACATGGATCAATGGAGCAGGATAGAGAACCCAGAAATAAGCCCATACTTACATGGTTAATTATGGTAAAGGAGGCAAGAGTACACAATGAGGAAGATAGTCTCTTCAGTAAATGGTGTTGGGAAAACCAGACAGCTACATGCAAAAGAATGAAAGGAGACCAATTTCTTACACGGTCCACAAAATAAATTTCACATGGATTAAGGACCTAAACATGAGACCTGAAACCATAAAACTCATGGAAGAAATCATAGGCAGTAATGTCATAGACGTCACCCTTAGCAGCAGTTTACTAATAAATATGTCCTCTCAGGCAAGGGAAACAAAAGCAAAAATAAACTATTGGGCCTACACCAAAATAAAAAGGCTTTGCACAGCGAAGGATACCGTCAGCAAAATGAAGAGCTATCTGGGGGTGCCTGGGTGGCTCAGTCAGTTAAGTGTCTGACTTCAGCTCAGGTCATGATCTCATGGTTCATGGGTTCAAGCCCTGCATCGGGCTGTCTACTGTCAGCCCAGAGGCTGCTTCAGATCCTCCCCTCTATCCCACACCTCCTCTGCTCACTTGCTCACTCACTCTCTCAAAAATAAACATTAAAAGAAAAAAGCTATCCTACTGAATGGGAGGAGATATTTGCAAATGATATATTTGATAAAGGGTTAATATCCAAAATATGTAAAAATTTATATAACTGAACACCAAAAAAAAAATAAATAAAAATTATGGCAATCTGGGAGTACCTGGTTGGCTCAGTTGGTTAAGCTTCCAACCCTTGATTTTGGCTCAGGTCATGATCTCACAGTTCATTGAGTTCAAGCCCCACATTGGTCTCTGCACTGACAATGTGGAGCCTGCTTGTAATTCTTTTTCCTTTTCTCTCTTTGCCCTTCCCCAGTTTGCATTCTTTCTCTGTCTCTCTCAAAAAAATAAAAGACAAAATATTAAAAAATAACAGCAATCTGATTTACATATGTGCAGAGGACCTAAATAGACATTTTTCCAAAGAAGATATTTGACACATGAAAAAGAGACACCAAAGAAGAGACACATGAAAAAATGCTCACATCACTAACCATCAGGGAAATACATAACAAAACCACAGAGACCTGTTGCCTTAGACCTATCAGGACAGCTAATATCAAAAAGACAAAAATTAACAGGTATTGGTGAGAATGTAGAGAAAAGAGAACCCTTGTGCATCATGGGTGGGAATGTGTAAATTGCTGGAACCACTGTGGGGAACAAGCTGGAGATTCCTCAAAAAATTAAAAATAGAGGAGCGCCTGGGTGGCTCAGTTGGTTAAGCTTCTGACTTCGGCTCAGGTCATGAACTTGTGGTTTGTGAGTTCGAGCCCCATGTCAGGCCCTGTGCTGACAGCTCAGAGCCCGGAGCCAGCTTCAGATTCTTTGTCTCTTTCTCTATTCTTCCCCTGCTTGTACTCTGTCTCTCTTTCTCAAAAAAGATTATTTTCTTTAATAAAAAAATTAAGAATAGAAATACCATATAATCCAGTAATTCCATTAGTGGGTATTTATCCACAGAAAATAGAAACACTAATTGGAAAAAGATACGTGCACCCCTGTGTTTATTGCAGCATTATTTTCAATAGCCAAGATATGAAGCAACCTAAGTGTCCATTGATAGTTGAACAAGTAAAGAAGATGGCATATTACACAATGGAATATTACTCAGCCACAAAAAGAATGAGATCTTGTCATTTGTGACAACATGGTTTGCATCTAGAAGGTTTTATGCTAAGTGAAATAAGCCAGGGAAAGACAAATATGATATGCTTTACTTTTATGTGGAATCTAAAGAACATAGTAAATTGAACAGTCATAAATACAGAGAATTAAGTGGTGGTCACCACAGGGGAGGAGGTTAGAGGGATGGGCAAAATAGGTGAAGTGGTTTAACAGGTGCAACTTGCAGTTATAGAATTGGTAAGTTAGGGGAATGAAAAGTCCAGTATAGAGAATATAGTCAGTAATATTGTAATGGTGTTGTATGTTGACGTTGGATGGTGACTGCCCTTACTGTTGTGAAAAAAAGAAAGTTAAGGCAAAAAACTTAATCAGAGTTTCTTGAAGCTGTGTGGTGAAACTGATGTTTTACATTTGCTTAAGTGCTACTTTTTTCTTTAGCAGCTTAGACTCTTAGGTTCTGAATAGTTACCATTCCTCCTGATGTTTTATTTTTGTTTTGAAATTTATATTTGGAAGTGTTATGTAGCTGTCTAACTTCACAAGTGTTAAGGAGTTGTAGATGATTCTTTTATTTCTTTATTATTTTTTTTTTTAAGGGTAATAGAGAAGAGCTTGTTTTGATGGCAGTGGACATTTAAATACTTACATGTTCTTATTAATCAATTTGATTTAGCTGGTCTGCTGGCCAGTGTATTTCTATCATAGAAAAACAGATCCAACTTACTGGGTTAAATCATCTAGCTGAATTCATTTGTTCTGATTTCATGTCCACTGAAATTTTAAAAAATAAATTATAATTTAGCTTACTAATAGTAGCTTTGCTTTTTCTTAATAAATACACCTATGGGTCATCTCAGCAAGGGCATTCTTCCCCTTGTGGAAGGTAGTTTTATTGTAATTATGTACATAATGGCAAATGTCTCCATACAGATGCCAGGCTCTTTAAAGCTGCCTCTCACAGAAAATAAGGCAATTGCAAAGAAAATAATCCCTCTCGTAGTAGAAAAATGACAACAGAAAGTAATGAGTTCTTTGAACATACAGTGGCTTTACTTAAACTATTTGCAGTACTCTAGTATTATTGTTTCAAGAATTGAAACAATTTGGAGTAGGTGGGTAGAATAGAAAAGATTACACATTTTTAAAGTATTTTGTGAACGCAAAATGGTTTTGAAGTAATGGTACTGTCTTTTGAAACAGACATCTCATTTGGGGGAAAATATTTACTTAAAAAAATAATAATTTGGGGAGGAGCCAAGATAGCAGAACAGCATGGAAGTTTTTGTGTCTTGTGTCCATGAAGAGAATAGTATTTTTTAGTTTTTTGTGACTTGTATGTTAGGAAGTAGGTTCAGTTTTTATGTATAAAATTTCCTTTTATGATTATGTAAAAAATGTTAACATTAGAGACCTTAAGATTAAGCAAATAGCTGATTTATAGTCATTGATTTTTAAAGTAATTGTATTACTAACAAAGTTTGGTTGAGTGCCTCTATCAGTTTTAAAACTTGCCATCATGAACAAGTTACTATTTATTGTTTTTTTTTTTTTTAATGTATCATTAGGAAAAAAATGAAAATAAATGAACCTGTTATATTTTTAGGCCCGGATAGCATTTTTGCAAGGAGAAAGAAAAGGACAAGAAAACTTGAAGAAGGATTTAGTAAGAAGAATAAAGATGTTAGAGTATGCATTAAAACAAGAAAGGTACGTGTGCCTCGTTTTCTTATAATACAAAGTAGAACAGTATTCTCTTTTATACCAGTGTGCATTGTATTTGAAAATACTTTGAAAGTATGAAACCCTGACCCAAATACAAGATGATACTTGGATTTGATTCTTATAAGGGAATAGAAAAGATTTAAATCTGTAAAATTGAATAGTGGGTGGCTCAGTCGGTTAAGTGTCCTACTTCAGCTCAGGTCATGATTTCACAGTTTGTGAGTTCAAACCCCACATTGGGCTCTGTGCTGACAGCTCAGAGCCTGGAGCCTGCTTCAGATTCTGTGTCTTCCTCTCTCTCTGTCTCCCTCTCCTTCAAAAATATATAAACATTAGAAAAAAAAATTTATAATTGAAATTATGTCTTTTGTTATAGATGCTAAGTTTTGGAATTTTATTTTTCTTTAAAGATAAGGAAAAAAATTGTCTTCATTTTTTACATTTACATTTTTTTTCTTATATAGCAGTACACTTTTTTCTCTAATTTCCGTAAAGCTTAAAAAACAGGTATTCATATTATGTTTTGTGTTCTCAGAGAAATATATACTAGTATTTACTTAACTGTAGAAAAGGAAAAAATTTTTTTCTTTCAACAATTTGTTGTTAAATTTTCAGGGCAAAATATCACAAATTAAAATATGGCACAGAACTGAACCAAGGTGATTTGAAAATGCCAACCTTTGAATCAGGTAAAGTGGATTCTTCTGTTAACCTTCTCCTGACCCAGTTCAAGAAAAAAATTGGTTTAAGCTCTTTTTTCTGTAACAGACATGTTTTCTTCACCCTCATTTTGCTTCGATAGCATTGGTTAGTTAGATGGTTGACCACTGTAATAATGCCTAATATTTTGGGGAAAATAATAAATGAATAAAAGTAAATACTTGTATCTATATCTAAATCCTGAGGTTATTTATCCTGTTTTCCTTGTGTTGAAATGTATGTAAAATTGTGAGTGCATTTTGGTATCAGAAGTGAAAGGTAATGAAATAATTTCTACCCTTGTAGATAATTCTTGTCCCGTTCTATAAAAGTTTACTTTTTTATTATTACAAACTTCTTTTTATCTGGAGAAGCTGTGATTACCATAGTTTAATTCTGAAAATAGTAAATTTGACTGAATTTGGAAACCTCATAGGCAGCCAAATAAGAGAAGGAAAAGAATCTTCTCCACTTCATCTTGCTCTGTACCAAATCTTGCATTTTACACTAAACTAAATAGATAATGAGTGTGAGAGTAGTATCTGGTGAACAATTATGCTTGGAAGAGATGGCTGGATATAGGAAAAAGCTAACAGTTTAACGTCAACTTTAGGGTTCTACATGATTACAACGTGGGTAGTCTAAACATCTAACAATGAATAAGGAATTCTTTGATTTATGTTATGCATATTGGGAATGTTATCAGTTTCTTATTTCTCAGGTATATTTAGAACTCATATACATTTTGATGGTGCATTCAAATTGAATTCTATGCTCTTCTTGGATGGTGGTTACTAAGATAAGAAGAAAGTGTATCTTTATTTGGATATGCAGTTTTTCTTCTTTTATAATAAAGTTGTACCATATCTAATAAAGTTAAAGCATATATGGTAAGGAAGATAAAACTTAGATATGGATGTTGGTTTTTTTTGTTAGGTGGCAGAGTAAATTTTAAAAAATTAATTGGTTTTTAGTTTAATGTTAATATTAAATACTTAATATTAAGTATTTAGAACTTGGGAGAAACACTTCATACACAATTTAATTTTTTACACTTACCGGTTTTATCATTTATTATATCTTCAAGTTGTTGGTATCTATATTTTAAAATAAAGAGACCAACATATCAGCAGCATGGGTTTCCTTTGATCTAGCTTTTCAGTGATGGTGAAGGTTCACTTTGACAGTAGGGAATAATATTATGGCCCCATTCTTGGAAAAGCAACAATAAAAAATAAAAAGATGGAAGGTCTATATATTTTGGGCCGTGTTGACTACAGTAGTCTTACTGCAGTTAGAGGGAGTGGGGTGGCTTCATAGAAGTTAATGAATCTGGAGCTTTTTCTTTCTAATATGGCTAGAATATTGAGAAAATAAGTATTCACTTTCTGACTCAAGGGCTGTCCCCCTAACTTGGTCTGCATAAATGTGAGGAAGGAGGCTGGTTGCAGCCACATTGTTCCTGGAGCCAGTCAGAATTGGCTAGCTGGTTTCAGTGCAATAGTGTGTGTAGAACAAATCATTAGAAGATAAGTGTCTGCTGCCTGCTAAAAACAGACTTGTTTTTATCTGTATAAACTTAAGTTTTAAGTTTTAAAACTTCGTCAAAATGAGGAATAAAATGACATTCAGGTGTTTTATTTATGGGAAGCAATATTTAATAGAGTAGATTTTCTTTATTGATGTAGAAAAACTATTCACAGTGTTTAGTGTGGGGGTGGGGAGCGATGAAGTGATGGACAATATATAACATACAAACAAAATCGGTTAAAATTACTTCAAAGTATAGATCGAGATAACCATTAAACAAATTAGTGTTGCCTTTTATATACCCAAAAATAAATCAAAATATAAAATATTGTCTTGACAGAAGTATGATACACGTTTTTATACCTATGTCTCAGTAATACGTATATATATGGCCTAAACCTAACCCTATAAAAGGGGTTGTATCTAAATATGTAAAGAGCTTTTTTGTGTATTTGGGGGGGGGAATCTATGACAGTAGGAAAATAGGCAAAAGAAAAAGCAACCCATAAGAGAAGATATCTAAGTGACCAATAAGTGTATGAAATAATGCTCAATGTTATTTGTTATTGAGGAAATACAACCAAAGTGCAGTACATACAATTAGACACCTATCAGAATGGCTAAATTAAAATGGAAAAGACAAAAAAAAAGGTCAAGTCTAAATGAGGATATAGAACAACCAAATCTACTGGTGTTGGGATTGCAGATTGATAGAACTGCTCTGAAAGTAGTTTGCCAATAAGACTAAAGGGAACATAGCCATAGCGGCATGCTCTGAAGCCCAGTAATTCCAGTCTACATACTCTACTTCTTAAAATGCATACGTGTGCTCATCATAAGGCTTGTATAAGAATGCTTATAGTGTCTTGTAGTAAAAATCTGGAAACAGCTTGAATGACCTGCAGTATTAGAATGGATACATGTAATGTGTGATTTTAGCATAATGGAATGCTATTTAGCAACAAAAGTGAAAAAGCTGTAACTACACCTAACAACATGGACAGGTAACATAACACTGAAAAATGATATAAATGATCTCATGTGTATCAAATTTAAAAATTAATCTAATTTTTATAAATCAGGATAGTATTGATACTCTTATAGAACTGTCTAGTGACTGCAGGAAGGTACAAGGAAAGCTTTTGGGACACTAATAATGTTTTGTTTATTCATCTAGGAACTGATTACATTGATGTGTTAAAAAATTTTTTGAGCTGTATATATGCTTTTGGTGTACTTCAAGGATATCTATAGAAAAATTATTTATCATAATGGAAGGTAGAAAGTAATGTCAACATTAGTGGACTGGTTAAATTAAATAGGCATATACTTTCTGTGGAATACTGTGTGATCATTTTATGTAATATGTAATATCTGTGTTCATTGACATCAAGAGAATGTTCAAATACGTTAGGTGTCAAAAGCAGCTTTATAGGACAGTATACACATTGGTGCCTCACCCCATTTTTAAGGAAAGGAGAAGTTTATATATGTATTTTGAGATGAAAAATGGGAATGATAAAGTCTCAAGTACTAACAATTTTAATGATAGGATTTGGGGCGTTGTAGTTCTTTTTACAAATGTATTTTTTTGGAGCACCTGGATAGCTCAGTAAGTTAAGCATCTGATTCTTGGTTTCCGCTCAGGTCATGATCTCACAGTTCATGGGTTCGAGGTCCGCATCAGGCTCTAGTTGACATTGCTGACCTGCGGGATATTCTCTCTCTCCTTCTTTCTCTGCCCCTTCCCCGCTTATGCGCTCTCTCTCGCTCTCTCTCCCTCTCTCTCTCTCTCTCAAAATAAATAAATAAACTTAAAGTTAAAGAATGTGTTTTTTCCTCCAGTGATTATGTATTATACATGATTTAATAGCAAACAAAATTGTATAAATAGATGAAATATATAAACAAATATAGGAGCTATTAAGATGAAATAATTATTTCTAGAACTCTTAGAAGTTCTCTCTGTTCAGGGGAGGAATGAGAAGGTGTAAATAATGGAATTGTTACAGTTAGAGAAGTAAGGCAGGGAATATTTGAATTAACTACCAGTAAGTTTTTCTTTTCATGACTCTGAGGAGTCTAAGAACCTGACAACTGTGAGCCATGCTAAAGGTTCTCAGCATTCATTGTGAGGGCTGATCTTCTATGAACCTCTGTTGTCTGCATTATCTTATTTTCATAATGGGAATTTTTAGGAAAATATTTCTTTTTTTTTTTTTATTTTTTTTTTAACGTTTATTTATTTTTGAGACAGAGAGAGACAGAGCATGAACGGGGGAGGGGCAGAGAGAGAGGGAGACACAGAATCAGAAGCAGGCTCTAGGCTCTGAGCCATTAGCCCAGAGCCCGACGCGGGGGCTCGAACTCATGGACCGCGAGATCGTGACCTGAGCTGAAGTCGGACACTTAACTGACTGAGCCACACAGGCGCCCCGAAAATATTTCTTTAGTATCATTAGTGCTGATAAGTATTTGTAAATTTCTCACTAGGGATACTTATTGAGAGCTTAACTCACCTCAGATTATTTATTAAACTCTTAGTACATATACTCATATTTGAGAATAAAATATGACCTTTTACATATAGTAGAAACTAGTTTCTGGTTTTAGTTCTAACAATGAAATTAATTATATAAAGTGTTACGAGTAAGATTTAAAGTTTCCTGATAGACTCAAAATTGAGTCATTGAATAGTTTTATATATACTAGATTTAACAGTGTTGATTTTGAATAGCTTAAGTAAATATTAAATGTAGCTTTTTAATTTTGAACCCATCAACCCAGCAGAATTCTGATAGTTAAAAAAAATTTTTTTTCAATAAATATTGAAATCACTGAAATGAAATCATTTCAAAGCCTGAGTTTTTGGTTTTTGAATCCCTTGTAGAATAGTTAATGTACTCTTAGGTTTCCCAGTTTTAAAACAAGGCAGGTTGTACCTGAGTGTTTTGTTTATTGGGATAAACACATTTAAAATGACTGTAAATACTCAATAGTTGTTAATTTACTTCTATCATTTATAAAACATTCAGTTATTTTTTTTATGGGAATTTATCCCTGAGAGAACTTTGGCAATATTTTCAAGAGTGGAAATGCTGTGTGTGAAATTGTCTATTTTGTGTATGTGTTAATTTTTAGAAGAAACCAAAGACACAGAAGCTCCCACAGCACCTCAGAATAGCCAGTTAACGTGGAAGCAAGGCAGACAACTGTTAAGACAGTAAGTAATAGTTCATTTTCAGCTTTCTTTAAGGATCTAGGTATGCAAATGCTTATGTTCAGTAACTTTGCAAGTAAAAAATTATTTGATGATAATAGGACAGTGTGTATAGTTTTTATTGCTTTCTTGTTTCTTTTGACTATTGGATCTTTTTAAAGTTGGTATCCTATGAATGTTCCTTTGGACACTGCTCAGGATGATGTTGTTTTCTATTTGTCGTGTAGAATGTCATAAAAGCTAGATGGCTGGAAGGCCAGAAGAAAAACAATACAGAGTTCATACTTGTAGATACTCCCATTCCTGTTACTGCAGAATTCATGTACTTGGTTTTAAGTGGGACTGTGACTGGTTTATAGAAGGAACTTAGCTGGTAACCTGAAACCTTTCATAAGTGGCTTGCCAAATCCTACTTTTACTTGAATTTTTGAGGAAGCTTTTTGATAGTTAAATTCTTTGCTGTATTATTAGAAGTAATTCTGTGGCGGGGAACCTGGGTGGCTCAGTCTATTGAGCATCTGACTCTTTATCTCAGCTCAGGTCATGATCTCATGGCTTGTGGGACTGAGCCCTGCATTGGGCTCTGTGCTGGCAGTGCTTAGAATTCTTTCTCTCCTCCTCTGTCTGCCCATCCCCTGCTCGTGCTTTCTCTCTTTCTCTCTCAAAACAAATAAATAAAACATTAAAAAAAGTAATTGTGTGACATATCTTACTGTTTTAGTCTGTTTTAGTCAGAATTGGCTTAACTTGATGAAATAAATGACTCTGAGTCAAGTGTTTTTACCTGGATTGTGTGAGATTTTGTCTGCTCATTCAGACCACATGGTTAGAGTGTGATCGCAGTTGTTCCCCCCAAAAAGAGAATTGCGGTTTTTAGAAGAGTCCAATAGCTATAGCGAAATCAGTTGTACAATATTTCTCTTATAAAAGCCTAGTCTTATTGCCTGGATTAATATTTTGTCTCTCCTCCTTTCTCTGAGAGTAGATTATCTCTGTAGTCTTGCATGTTCATTTGTCAACTGTGTACTCTGTTTTCCATTGTGATACTCCACTGATGCTACTCACAGACATAGTTAAGAGAAATTTTTTGTTCCTATTTGATCTTTTGGACACATAAGGCATTAACCATTGTATTTTGAATTCTTAACTCTATGCTACCATTTCCCCCCTTATTTCTCAAGTACTTTCTTTTAATTTTTTTTGAGTTTCTCTTATTCTTTCAGCCCTTTAGGTTTCTGTGTCCCAGGCTATCTGTTCTAGAATTTTTTCTCAGGGTAACTTCATTTAAATCCATGGGTTTAAATACCATCAAACACTGATAACTCCCAAATCTAGATGCTGAGTCCAATCTCTTCTGAGCTTTGATCTTTCTTATTATTGTGCTAATAAATGTCACTGTCTTCGCTACTACGTGATTATCTGATAGATACCCTATAAACCAGACCCGGACTCTTTATTCTTCATTTCATTGAATAGAACCACCATCCAACCATCCAAGCTAGAAACCTGAAAATTTTCTAAAATTCTTGTATCTTCTTTCGTTCTACTGCCATGTGTATTTGTGCACCAGGTCTCTACGATTGTATCTTGCTTTTATTTCTCATGTTTATTCTCTTCAGTTTTATTTCTTGCTGTGTTAGTGTCCTAACCAGTCTCCCTGCTATTGACTTTCAGCTAAAAATTGTTTGTTCTTTTGCATATTGTGTAAGGCTCCTGTTTAGCATCCTTCCTTAGCCTGTCAAATACTTTAAGAAGAAATTCTTTATCATACAAAACCATTCACGACCCATTATCTATATTTATGTCAGAATCTGGTCCCTTTCTTTTCCAGTCTTACCTTGGATCCTAGATTAAATATACAGAAAGTTTCAGTACCATGAGGTTTTAGATCCTAGAGGGAGAACTAACCCGTCCATCATCCTCTGACTAAGAACCTAGGTTTAAACTTAGCATGTCACTATTCTGAGGTCCACTTTGTGGACTCTTTTTTTTTTTTTCTTTTAATAGCATATATCATCACTTCCTAAAAGTTTTTTAAGGTTCTAGAGTTTTTTAAGCTTCAAGATAATTGGCCCTTAATTAGCATTAGCCATCCTGTATGCTTTCTTAATTAAATTTCTGTTTGTAATTGGCTTTGTTCTCTTAGAATTGGAACTAGTGTATAGAGAAGAAAGTTTTGAGGCAAAGGAGGATCATATTTTACAGGATTATGGGTTTTTTCCTTGATCAGTCATTGCTTGATGTGATTTTTGAGTTAACATGTTTGTAGGTGTTAATATATGGGATCTAATATTTTAAATTTTTTCTTAACAGATATCTTCAGGAAGTAGGTTACACAGATACAATATTAGATGTCCGATCTCAGCGGGTAAGGTCATTACTTGGACTATCCAGTTCAGAACCAAATGGATCGGTAGAAACAAAGAACTTAGAACAGATCCTGAATGGAGGTGAATCTCCTAAGCAAAAAGGACAAGAAATCAAAAGGTATGATCTGTAGGTTCACACTGTTTATATAATGGGAATTATGAATCTCTTTAACTTCTTGTTACTACTAGGGTAACAATTTTTAAAGCAGGTAGAATTCACATTTAAAGACTTTTTCCTTGTACATGGTAATAGGGGCAAATAAAGTTTAGCTTAGATGTTTTTTTAAAATTGACCTGTTTTAAGTTTTGATGCCAAGAGAATGGCTATAGTTCTGAAATAGGTGCTAAATTTAAATTTGAGAGTGATTTCTTGCAGTTCTGAGCTATTCTAACATCATGATTTTAAAATTTTGCTAGGGTATTTTCGGTAAATTATATTGGTACTCTGTAACTAGAATAGCAATGGTTATATACACACTAGTGTGAAAGAAACAAGGTTTTGCATTATATTTGGGCTTAGAAAATCACCAGTTATACTTTTTAAAATTAAATGTCTTTAAGATAAAATTCACACACTATACATTTCTGCCATTTAAAGTATATAGTTTGTTTTTAGGATATTCAGACTCACTCAGCCATCACCACAATATTAGTTTAAAAAAATTCATCATCTCACTGGGGCGCCTGGGTAGTGCAGTCACTTGAGCCTCCGACTCTTGATCTTGGCTCAGGTCATGATCTCATGGTTCATGAGTTCGAGCCCCACATTAGGCTGTGTGCCCCTCTTTTATCCTCTATAGCTCACGGAACACACTTCCACCAATGGTGGTATATTTTCAAGTGAAGTTGAACCAGTGATTTCTGATTTCTTCAGAAATAAAGCAACTTAGGGTAGATTTTCCTGAACTGGAAACAGGAGGATTATCTCCGTCTCCAGCTAAGCAGTGAGATTCCCTGTTTTCTTCAAGTATTCAGCATCTGGTATGTTGGCAGCGGGTCTGATATCCCTTCCCAGGGAGATGTTGAAATTTATTACATTAATAGTCCTAATGATCCTGACAATTGGGATCTGCCAATGAAATGGTGAGCCTCTGTCCTATCATGCAAAAGTGAAGCCAGCTGCTTGGGAAGCCATGCCCATGTACACAGTTTATACAGCTAGCCTTTTCGTGCTTCACTTTTAAATGTGAACATTTAGGAAAGACTTTAATACAGTAATTAGAGACCAAAGGAAACAAACAAAAAAAAGAAACTCAGAAAACAGAGAGTAGAAGAGTTTCAAAACCATAATTACTTTTCTAAAAAGACTGAGAGAAGATAATACATCTACAAAACAAATAGGATGTTACTCCATTCTATTCTATTCTATTTACTTATTTTGAGAGCAAGAGAGCACATGAGGGTGGGTGAAGGACAGAGAGAGAGGGGGAGAGAATCTCATGCAGGCTCTATACTGCCAACACGGGGTCCGATGCAGGGCCCAAACCCACAAACCATGAGATCATGATCTGAGCTGAAATCAAGAGTCAGGCGCTTAACTAACTGAGTCACGTAGGCACCCTGGTGGGATGTGTTTTTAAAAGGTTCATCTTAGGGGCGCCTGGGTGGCGCATTCGGTTAAGCGTCCGACTTCAGCCAGGTCACGATCTCGCGGTCCGTGAGTTCGAGCCCCGCGTCAGGCTCTGGGCTGATGGCTCAGAGCCTGGAGCCTGTTTCTGATTCTGTGTCTCCCTCTCTCTCTGCCCCTCCCCCGTTCATGCTCTGTCTCTTTCTGTCCCAAAAATAAATAAACGTTGAAAAATAAATAAATAAATAAATAAATAAAAGGTTCATCTTAAAGCTAATAGAAATTAAAAGGTGTCATAGAAATAATTTCTATGTAAAACTTGGAAGATAATAGGGGCGCCTGGGTGGCTTTGATCCGGTTAGCGTCCGACTTCAGCAGGTGCGATCGTGGTCCGTGAGTTCCGAGCCAGCGTCAGGCTCTGGGCGGCTGATGGCTCCCTGGAGCTGTTCGATTCTCCCTCTCTCTCCTGCCCCTCCCCCGTTCATGCTCTGTCTCTCTCTGTCCCAAAAATAAATAAATGTTGAAAAAAAAAAAATTAAAAAAAAAAAAACTTGGAAGATAAGATTGAAGAATCACCTCCCACCCCCAAAAATAAAAAAGGGAAGAGAGGAAATGGAACTGAAAAGGTAGGAAAATTCATAGATCACTCCAGCAGGGCCAACATCTGACTAGGAATTTCAGAAAGAACAGGTAAAATTATCTTACAGATTATTAAAATAGTAATAAAAGAAAACTTGCTGGAATATAGTTACAGCATGTATTTCCAAGGGTGTTTCCAGATGGAAAGGATTCTTCCCAATTACACTATAAAATTAATTTTAAAAAAGATCAATACAAAGTTGGGTGAGCGATCCACTCTTGATTTGGCTCAGGTCATGATCCCAGGGTTGTGGGATTGAGCCCTGCGTCAGGCCCTATGCTCAGCATGGAGCCTGCTTACAATTCTCTTTCTCTCTCTTTCTCTCTGTCCCTGTCTCCCTCTGCCCCTCCCCCCTGCTCACGCGCGCGCGCGCGCTCTCTCTCTCTCTCAAAGAAAAACAAAAAAGCAAAGGCCACCATCATGAATGCCAGAAGGAAACATCTCAAAATAAACAGCATACTAGCATGCAAGTAGTAAAGTCTCAGACCTTGTAGATGTAATTTTCATTTTCCTAAAGACTAATGATGTTGAGTATCAGTTTATGCTATTCATGTATCTTTTTGATACAGTGTCTATTTGAGTAATTTTCCCATTTTTATTGTTTTATTTGTTACTGTTAACATTTAAGTGTTCTTTATATGTTCTGGACACAGGTCCTTCATCAGATATGTGACTTGCAAATATTTTCTCTCAATCTATAGGCTTCTTTTTAAATTCTCTTAACAGTGTCTTTCAAAGAACAAAGTTTTTAATTTTGGGAAGTTGGATTCATCATTTTCCTTTTATGGATTGTGTTCTATTTGTCTTATAAAGCCATGCACATATATTGCTGTGATCAAAAACAATTCTAAAAACCTAAAACACGAGTTTCACTTTAGAGAGAGAAATTTCTCTCCAAGGGACAGCAATACTTCATTTGTCAAAGTTCAAAACAGAATTCTCAGGTCTTCAATATACTATTTTCTATTTTTCTGCTATTAAGGTACCAATTTTGTCAACTATCATTTTGCCTTTCATTTAATCCCCAAATGTTAAGAGTTACAGTAAATGTTGAGCTGAAAAGTATATGTTCTGTTATTGTGGTAGTTTTTTGTTTGTCTTTACTAATTTGTATTTGGACAAACCATCTCTTAACTACATTCAGTTTTTATGCAGGCCCTTAAACAATGTGCTGGAACAGGCAGAGTATAGTAGACCTGTTAAAATCTATGCCATGTGAAAGGGCTATTAAAAAATAGTCTGAATTATATTGTATCCTTAGAAACAATCAGGGAGGGGGAAAAAAAACTCCAAATTTTAGATTATTCTTTTTGGTACCCACAGATCATCTAGTTCAACCCAAACAGTTTACAGGTAAAGAAACTGAGGCTAAAAGGTTTTTAAGTGACTTGGCCAAATTCAGTCATGTAGTTAATGGAAGAACAGAGACTTTTATTGTGAGAGGCTGTGTTGAGCTGAAATTTCCACCATTCTCTTGCTGTGTTGTTAGACATTTAAAAAGCTTTTTAAAAACTTCTTTTGTAAATAGAAGAGGAACTCAGATTATAGCTTAAAAAATGAGTTTGTAGGTAGATAAAAATAAATTATCACTATTACCTAGTACACAAATGGTTCTGAAAGACTTGAAAGTATTTCTTTAGTATATTCAAAATCCTGTTTTCTAGGTAAGAATATCTGTGAAATGGATTGGAATATCTATGTCTGATTTACCCCATAACTTTAAATCTGGGCAGGTTTTAGTCTTCAAATATTTGGGCCAAGCTACAAGAGGTTGTAAAACTTTAAGAAATGCTAAGTTTAGGGGCACCTGGCTGGCTCAGTCAGTAGAGCATGTGACTCTTAGGGTTGTGAGTTCAAACCCCATGTTTGGGCATGGAGCTTACTTAAAAAAAGAAAAAGAAAAAAAGAAATGCTAAGTTTAAGTTGCTTACTTGTGATGGCTTTATTTTGAGAAATAATGGCACATTTGAGTGTCTATCACTATGTGATTTTATTTTGATACAGTAAGTACTCAAAAATATTTTGGACAGTAAACATTGGAAAAACTTAATCACTTTTACTTGAGCCAGAAAACAATCTTTTCTTGGGTGAGTACTTAGGCGTTACATTATAAGTAGGTTATCATTTGAATCTTTATACTACTTTCCTTCCTTTTATTTTTTTTAAGTTTATGAGAAAGAGCACAAGCAGGGGAGGGGCAGAGAGAGGGAGACACAGAACCTGAAGCAGGCTCCAGGGTCCAAGCTGTCAGTGCATAGCCCAACCTGGGGCTCAAGCTCACGAATTGTAAGATCATGATCTGAGCCAAAGTTGGACACTTAACTGACTGAGCCACCCAGGGGCCCCTCTATGCTACTTTGAAGTACTGTTTTAAAATAGGAACCAGAAAGAAATGTTAGAATTAACCATTGGAATATCTGGATTCATCTTTTTCCCCTTTGACAGGCCCTCTGGTGATGTTCTTGAGACATTCAATTTTTTAGAAAATGCTGATGACAGTGATGAAGAAGAGGAAAATGACATGATTGAAGGCATCCCAGAAGGAAAAGATAAACATCGGATGAATAAACACAAAGTAGGAACTCATTTTTTAATTTTTATTAGCTAATACACACACTGTGGCTGTGGGAGGGCAAGTCCTGAT